AAAAAAAAAAAAAACAGAACCAAAACAAAAAAAACAGCCTTTATCCTGTAGAATAAAGTTGAATATAGAAAATGAGAAGGGTTTGGAGGCAGTGTGGCGAGAGATCACACTGGAAGGGAGACTGCTTAGGGGGCTATTTTTTATAGTTGACAAAAGAAATGAAGGCCCTGAGCAAGGGCACCAGGAGGGTGGGGAGGAGAAGGTATTGGCAGGAGTTTTGGAAGGCTGGATGGCTAGGACTGAGTTGATTGACTATGGCTTGTGAGGGAGGAGAAATCTAGGTGACTCGCATCTCCCTGCTGGAGGGACTGGGTGAATGAGGTGCCATTGATGAGACAGGGATGTGAGAGCAGGGGACCTGGGGAGGGGTGACTTTGGACCCCCGAGGGTTTCTCAGCCTCAGCATTATGGCCATTTCAGCCTGATAATTCCTTGTTGTCGGGGGCTGTCTGTGTATTTTAAGATGGTTAGCAGCATCCTTGGCCTCTATTCATTCGAATTTAAGGTCTCTGAAGACAGCCAGATGGAGCTGCCCAATAGATGGTTGGTTATTGGAGTCGGGGAGCTCAGGAGACAGCTTCGCGTTGTGTTTTCCGTAGTCCCCAAGGGCCCATACTGAGTAGGAAAGAGGAGGGAATGACTCCTTGTGAGCAGAGAGGTTGGAGTTCAAGTTATCTGTGCCCATGTCCTGGCTCCCCAAGCATCTTGTAGGTGCCTTGAGAAGAAAAAGAATGTCTTATTTGCCTCAGTATCCCCTCAACGCTATGCCTGGCAGAGTTGGTGCTTAATAAAGGTTTAGAGAATTGCACTAACTTGATTTGGGAAGAACAGGAAAACCCAAATAGCCTGACAGCCCCTGCCCAGAGTAACATTAGGAGGCTGGGTCGGGAAGAAGCTGAGATCAGGTGGGGTTAAGTATCCAGCATCCTTTGTCTTCAGAATCTGCCGAAACCAACTATGAGCTGATGCTCATAGTTGATGCGAGTGTAAGTGGTACAACTAGCAAAGGTGGGGATGTCATTCTTGTCGACCCAACAGTTGCACTCCTGGGTAGAGAAGCTCTTGAACATGAGCACCAGAAGTGAGACTCATGAATATTCAAATCAGCACAATTGGCAGCGGCAGAAATCTAAATGTCTATCAGCAGGAAAGGGAATGAATGGTGCTTTCATCATTTCATCATTTCATGGCAGTGAAAATGAATGAACTATAATTATCAACAGGGATGGATTTACAACCTTAACATGGAAGGGGAAAAAGCAAAATGCATGCACTTGAGTAAGGTTTACAAAAAGATTCAAAACTCAATGATGTATTAGGAATTCATAAATATGTAGTAACATTATGAAGAGAACCAAAAGAATAACAAACACAAAATTGAGGATTGTATTTACCTTTGTGGAGAGGAAGGGATTGTAATGGGGGAGGGACACATGAGGGCTTCAAAAGTATGTGCAATATCCTAGTTCTTAAAATGAGTGGTTGGCAGATGGGTATTCACTTTACGATTCTTTATACGTACATTAAAAGCGTATGTGTGTGCTGGTTACTTCCTCCAGGGAGATTCTACCAGGCAGGGCTTAGCACAACTGGGAATTCCCTGGTGAAAGTCAGGGAATTTCAAGATTTTTCAGCCAGTGGTTGGGCAAGGGGTCATCACTCTCGTCGCCTCCCTTGAGGTTCTGAGGAGCCTTAGAACAGACGTTCAACCTCTGGAATCCCCCAGAAAAAAGGCTCATAGGGCAGCTTCTCCTTTCTCAGAG